AAAGGCCCCAGCAGTGGCATTCTGCAAGTTTTTTAGTTTTTTGTTTTTTTTTTTTTTTTTTAAAGAGGTTTTTGTTATAGGGCGCGTGCAACTCACCAGAAAGAGAAAGACAACGAGAAATCACCCCCCAGGGGGGATGACCATGCCACAATCCCTTCTCCTTCATTCTCCTCTCGGGATCTTGAGCATGCACGCACACGTGCCCAGCGTGAGATTAAGCCACCGGGTCTGGGACTCGAACCGCAGTCGACTACATGGGAGTCCAGCGACAGCTATTATGGCAACTGTTGGTCCCTCGTGGCTTGGTTTGCACTTGCTTGGTGGTTGGCGATGCTGAGCACCTTCTCACATACTTGTTGGCCACTCTGGAAAAACGCCCTCTCTCCTGTTGCTCATTTCCAGTGGATTGCTCGCTATTGCATTGTAGGGGCTCCTCGCATGCTTTGGGTGTCAGCCGCTGGGTGCCTGGTAGCAGACCCTCCCCTGCTGTTGCCTGTCTGTTGTTTCCTTTCCTGTACAGATTTCTACTTTGATGTAGTTGCACATGTTTATTTTTCTTTTATTATCTGTGCCTTCAGTGTCACATCAGAGAGAGGGGAAGAGAAAAAGGCAAGAGCAAGCTGCCAGGTCTGGGACTTGAACCACGGTCAGCCATGTGGGAGTCCAGCACCTTTAACCACCACGCCACCTGCCGGACCCGCCTAGCTTGATTTTCAAGCTGCCAGAACCAGGGCTTGAACCTGTGGGCCACGTTGGAGTCCAGCACCTTAACTCCTGTGCCGCCTGTTGGTCCCCTGGTAATGTGTTTTATAAGGACCTAGGAGGCTGTATCCAATGATTGTAAGCAGACTCCTCTAACTTACAGCATGGACGTTTTATGAGAACTCAACTTTCATCATTTTAATACTTTGTTGTTGTGGAAAGCATAGACGTGCCAGAGACGGGGAGTGAGGAGAGGAGTGAGAAATCATTCCTCGGGGGTGTCCACGTCACAGTCCCTTCTCCTCCATTCTCCTCTCGGGATTTTGGGCACTCACGCACGTGTGCTTGCTGGGTATGGGACTCAAACCGCTGTTGACTATGTGGGAATTCAGCGATGTAACCATTATGTTATCTGCTTGTACCAACAGTTTAAAACAAATTTTTTTTTTAATGATGGTGTCAAGAGAGTAGCAGAAAAAGGTAAAGCGTTTTGAAGACATGAGTTGACGTGGGATGACAGAGGAAGACCCCGAGGGAGGACAGAACTGGCGGTGGCAGCTGTAGCAGTAGGGAGCATTTGCTCAGCAAGCGGACCGTGCAAGCACCATTCTAAAGTCTTCACAGCGTCAGACACTTCATGTCATCCCAGCTCTGGGAGGTAGACGCCAGTCAGGAAAGGAGGCACAGAGGTGAGCAGCTCGCCCCTCAGCGCACGGGCAGGCCGCCTCGCCCTCTGCCTGTCGCCGCCTCTGCTGCTGGCTGATGGGGGTCCAGAGCTCAGTGGAGGATTCCCCAAGATGAAGGAGACCTGATAAAAACCACTGTGTTGCTTTTCTTTTACTTCATAACGAAGTACGACTTAAAGGGTTGAAACAACCACAATTTATGACCTCACGGTTCTAAAGGTCAGGAGCCTGCAAACTCTACCGGACTCTCTCTCTCTTTTAAATTTGACCAGAGAGACACAGAAAGGGAGGGGGAGAGTGAGAAACCAAGCCATCAGGTCCGATACTCAAACCACGGTCGGTCACATGGGAATGTCTAGTGCCTTTACCACCACACCACCTGCTGGTCCTTTGTTTACTTATTTTAATTTTATGAGAGAGAGAGAGAAGGGAAGTGAGAAAGCAAGCTTCAGGTCCAGAACTCGAACCATGGTTGGTCACGTGGGAGTCCAGAGCCTTGAACCCCACTTCACCTGCCAGCCCCCTCTGCCAGTGTTTGCTTAGGATCTCATGAGACCAAACCCAAGTGTCGGCAGGCCTGGGCTCTGACCTGGGGATTTGGGGGGAGAATATGCACCCACACTTGTGCCGAGATGAACAGAATGTGCCTCCTTTCAGCTGTAGGACTGAGGTAATTTCCTGGCTGGCTGTTAGCTACGGACTTCTAACTACAACCCGCTGCATTCCCTGTCGTGTGGCGCCCTCACTTTTATCTTTAGGGCCAGCAAGCACATAAAGTCATTCAAGCTGGGAATTTCTCGGATTTCATCTTTGATTATCAGCTAGAGAAAACTCTGAAGGTTCCCCCCCCCCACAGGGCGCGTGTAATCACTGGAGACAGACAGTAAAAGTGAAAAACCACCCCCTAGGGGAGATAGCCATCCAGGGTAGATGGCCATGCCACAATCCCTTCTCCTCCTGGGATTTTGGGCACACACATACATGCACCTGTCATGAATTTCTTTTGTTTTTTGGAGACGTTTTTACTATAGGGTGTGCGCTCACCAGAAAGTGAGAAATCACCCCCCAAGGGGGATGGCCATGCCGCAACCCCTTCTCCATTCTCTCGGGACCTTGGGTACGCACGTACCCGCACCCGGTGTGAGTTTAAGCCACCAGGTCCGGGACTCGAACGCACAGTCGACTACATGGGAGTCCAGCCACATAGCCATTACACCAGCTGCTGATCTCAACTGGCGTGAATTTCAAGCCACCAGGTTCGGGACTAAAACTGTGCAGCCATTACACCAGCTGCTGATCTCAACTGGTGTGAATTTCAAGCCACCAGGTTCTAGACTAAAACTGTAGTCCGGCATGTGGGAGTTCAGTGCCTTAACCACTATACCACATGCTGACCCCTGCAAACTCCGTTTTTAAAGAGCTCTGGGAATTAGATTGTTTCTCTTCTCTGCTCGTGACATAATCTGGTCACAGGAGTAAGAGCCGCCCTATCACCAGCGCCGTGTCATGAGAAAGTGCGTTCTGGGGCCACTGTGGGCACGAGGATGTGTTGGTGGGACTTCTGAATGAGGAGTCTTGGGGCTTACACAGCCTTCCTCAGTAGGAGGGGAATACGGAATCTGGAGATGTGAGGATGAGGGAAGTCTGAGCAGGGGAGTAGGGGCTCAGTCCACACTGCAGCACTGGTCTACACGGCAGGGCGGTCTGGCTCCAGCACTCTGAGTTTAAGGGAAAAGGAAGATGATTTTGGTTGGACACATGCTTCTGCAAATGTTAAGCCAAAGGACCACGGGCCAGGAGAGATGGGCTCCAGGGTCTGGGTCAAAAGTAGAAGACAGGACCAGAGCAAGGGGACAGGACAGCCACTAACGGCGAAGGCAGCAGGGAGGGCGGGCCTGGGCTCTGATTAAAGCAGGAGTGGAGGAAGTTCCCCAAGAGTTCTCCAAGGCTGGCCCCAGCCCACCCCATCAGCACCATCAAGGTCTTGTTCACAATTACAGCTGAATTACCAGGCCCACACCAGGTTAGTCATGGGCTCCTGACGTTTCCGAGTAGAGGACTGAAAGCTGTTTACTCTGCTATCAGGCACAGAGCGAGAGGAGTGAGGGCACGCCCCTCAGGGTGATGGCCATGCCAGTCCCTTCCCCTTCGTCTTACCTGCCGGGACGCGGGCACGCCTGCACACGCACCTGGTGTTTCTCAAGCCACCAATGCAGGACCCGACCACACAACTCGGCGATGAGGGACCCGGACGCCGTACCCACACCTTGGCCCTGGACTTCATACTTTTCCAAGGATTCCAGCTGGTCTTGAGCCCCCAAGGTTTAGAAAATCAGAGGCAGATTTTATTCTCCCAGAACACCATTATCGGTAACGGAGCAGGGAGTCCCAGCCCCGGGAGCAGAGCAGAGCTGGGTGGCAAACTCCGAGGCATATGGTTGGCGACCGTCGGGGACGCGTGACCTGTGCTGTGTGCCCCAAGGGTGACAAGGGTACGTGGGAGACACGGCTGAAACTGGCCTTGTGGTCTTCACAAACACCAAGTCCAGGCCACTCCAGTCTGGACGGATCCTGAAGAACTACCCCCAGATCTACTGAGAGTTAGAGAGGTCCCAACTGGGCCTGAACTGCTTTTTCTGTTTTTAAGAATTAGTTTATTTATTTCTTAACTTGACCAGAGAAGGACAGAGGGAGAGAGAGAGAGAAAGCAAGAGATCAGCCCCAGGACTCGAACCACGGTCAACCATGTGGGAGTCCAGCGCCCTTAACCACCATGCCACCTGCTGGCTCCCCTGAACTGCTATTCTATAAAGAGGGGGAAATGAGTCTTTCTTGGACCCCGACCGAGCGCTGTGAGCAGCAACTTAACTGCTGGACACGGGGGCACACTCGCCTGTGACCGGCCCAGCTCCACTCGGGCTCCACAGCGTCTCTCCTGCAGCCGCAGGAACTACCCGTCTGTGGTGCAGCCTCCACGGTGGCCCAGTCTGGTGAGCGCCAGCACAGCAGGCCCTGCTCAGGGCAGCAGGAGAAAGAAGTGAGCAGTGTGTTCTGGGCATGGGGCGTGGACCAGCATGGCACCACCTCAAAGTATTTCTCCAGGTATTTCTGAGTCGGTTCCCCAGGAAAGCCTTGGGAATTGGGCAGTAAAGCCAGGCAGGTGAAGTGCAAAATAGAGCTCCCACTGCGGTCACAGGAACACTTCCCACACCGGAAACCACGTCAGGGAAGTCTAAACACAGACCTTTCTATTGGCAAGAAAGCCAATGTATTTGCTATGGAAATAGTTTTATGCCATTACAATTAAAATGAAATGTTGTATAGATCAACGTGTATAGCCGTTGTACAGACAAAACAAATCTGTCTTTCGATGTTGTTGATATTCTGGAAGACTTCACAAGAACTTGGTAACAATGGTAGGTATTAGGGAAGGGAACTGAGAAGGGCAGAGTTTTCATTACTAAAACCACCTGGACCATGTGCGTGTATCACCTATAAGTATACACATATTGAAAAAAGTAGTGAGCTTTTCTTTTCTTTTCTTTTCTTTTTTTGGAGAGGTTTTAGCTATAGGGAGCATGCCCTCGCCAGAAAAACAGAGACAGAGAGACAGAAAGTGAGGAATCACGCCCGGGGGAAGGGGGGATGGCCATACCACAATCCCTTCTCCTCCATTCTCCTCTCAGGGTCTTGGGCACACATGCACATGCGCCCGGTGTGAGTTTAAACCACCGGGTCCAGGACTCGAACTGCGGTGAACTACATGGGAGTCCAGCGACGTAGCCATTACGCCAGCTGCTGGCCCCACGAGCTTTTCTTATGCTCAACAACAGAGGAGAGTTAAGCATGAAGCCTACGGGAACCGAGTCTCCCCACTGTGAGTGCAAAGGCTACAGCAGGGCCTGCAGGAGCGTTCTCAGGTTCCCCCTCTGCCACCACGCAGTCACAGACGCAGGCGCACTGCAGAGGGTCCACTCTGATCAGCAGGGAGGGCACTGAACGCTTTCCTGCCGGAAACCAGACCCCACCCAGAGCTAGCACCTGCAGAGAGAAGTCCCTCTCCCGAGGGTCGTCTTCACTAGAAGCAGGGAGGGTCACAGCCGTGAGGCCAACCCTACTCCTCTCGGTCCCCTGTCCTGTTACTCTCCAGCTGCACCCTCCCGTTCTTTGGCCACGATACTTGACTTTGAAGACAACACCCCACAAGGGAAGTCCCCGTCACTCCGAGTCTGAACTCTGAGACTTGGAAGACTTGTTCTTCACTTTCTTCTTCTTTTTCTTCTTCTTCTTTTCTTTCCTCCTTTTCTTATGCTTTTCTTTCTTCTTTTTCTTGTGCTTCTCTTTACACTCCGAGGAACTGGAGCTGCTCCCATCGTCCTCTGAGGTGGAATCTTCCAGTAACTGTTTTAATTGCTGTATCCTAAACATGTAAGGTCAAAGGACTGACTTTTAACTGAAGACATTTTTAGACAAAATTCTAACTTAAAGTAGCACTGAAGGGATAATTTCAAAAATAACCACCTCACTAAAGACAATTTTAATTTTTAGCTGTTTGACATGAATGACTACTTGACAGGACTGTAACCAGGGTTCAAGACATCTTATATTCTCTCATTGTCCTAAATATAGTCTATTGGGCCATCGGGAAAGTCATGAGGTGGGTTCTGTTTATCTATGCAAAAGCACACGACTTTTCCAAAGACCCAATACTTCCACAACAATTATGATTCAATGCAACCGACTGAAAAAACACGAACAAAAAACAAACCTCCGTTTTTTCACTCTCTCTAATCATGTCTAAAAATAATTTCTAGCAAACGTTCAGATCCTTAATGTCATCGGAGAAAATAAAGAAGAGTCAACTGTACAGTGCAAGTGGACAGCAAAACACGGGCCACCAACATCAGCTCGAGTTCGGGCCTGAGTGGGAGGGAGCGAGCCCACTGCCTCACTCTAACCTCCGCTGGGGAGGCCGGCCTGCTAATTCTCCCTCACTGGCCTTTTCGGCGAGGACTCCCAGCCTCCAAATACTTGAGAATTAAAGCACCACGTTCCGTTTTAGAAAATACATTTCATTTTCTTGTTCTTTAAAATGGCTTACAATTTCTAAAGTATCGTGTTTATTAAACCTCTCTAACACTAGAGTGGTTGTTTCCAACTTTAAAATAATTTCAGACTGTGAGGGGAATCTGTTATCAGAAGGATGACCTCACCTCATATCCTTTTCATGTCTTCTGTTCTCTCGTATGATGTCATACATGGGATCTTCATGAGCCTTGAGGATCAGAGGAGGTTCAGGTTTGGTTAGACTTCGTGGACTTCTGGCTAAGACCAAAACTCCTACGTTACCGCAACCAGGTTTGCTTTCGAATGTGTGCTGTACCTTTATATTTCCCATGTTCTAATCCCTGTAAGGGGTCACATCACTGTCTCAGTAATGCCACAGAAAGGACTTTCCAATACGGAAATACAGAAACCAAATATTCTTCACGAGGAAAACTGCCTTCGCTGTGGCAAAGACATACTCTGAAACAGTACTCAAGCTTAGAAATATTGAATAATTTTTTATTCTATGTGGATAAGTGACCAAGAGATAGTAGTAAGCAAAACAAGCGACAAATGAGTTTTGCAAAATGATATGTAAGCACGGGACCAGCAGTTGGCGTAATGGCTATGTCGCTGGACTCCCATGTGGTCGACTGTGGTTCGAGTCCCGGACCCGGTGGCTTAACCTCATGCCGGGCAGGTGTGCTTGGGCGCCCAAGATCCCGAGAGGAGAATGGAGGAGAAGGAATTGCAGTGTGGCCATGCCCCTGGGGGGTGGGGGCGTGATGATTTCCCGCTTTCTGTCTCTCTGTCTCTCTTGGGAGTGCACGCCCCCTATAGCAAAAACCTCTAAAAATAAATAAGTAAAATAAAAAAGAAAAGAACAAAAACCAAAATGGTATGTAAGCACAGTCCTTCATAAGTTCACAAAAACATGTTATATACTCTTATAATGTCTGAAAAAATACCACCCAACTCCTTGCTGAAAAACCTACTCTGGAAGGAAGCCAAGATTGATGAAAATTCCCGTGAAGTCGTCGTTTCGCTTAGACTCTTATAATGTCTGAAAAAATACCACCCAACTCCTTGCTGAAAAACCTACTCTGGAAGGAAGCCAAGAGTAAGCACAGTGATGAAAATTCCCGTGAAGTCGTCGCTTCGCTTAGTAAGAAAGGTGGGCTGGCCCTGGGGACTACTGGGTAAAAGATCCGGATCCCACACTGCTGACTGCGCACACGGTTCGAGTCCAGGGCCTGACAGCCTGAGAAACACAGCGGGTGTGTGTGCATACATGCCTCAGACCCAGCGGAAGAGACAGAAAGGCACTGGCCACACAGGGCTACCCCCTCCTGCTGCCTGTCTCTGAGAAGCGTGTATGCCTTTGGAGAATTGCCCTGCCATTCTCTCTCAGTGCCAGAGTGACAACAGCATGGGAAGGGTTTACCCTGTGCTAGGAGGGGGAGTAATCTACAGAGGACTGAACATATGTAAAGGCTGTGCACAGCATTTCAGAGAAGGGATGTGAGTGCCCACAATGTTCACACCTATGGCAAGAGGTCCTCCTGGGATCACATACTCTGGACACTAAGGGACGACTGTATATGTTTACCACAGAAACTTCAAATACAAAATAACTTAAATTAGAACATGTATTATTTTACCAGCCAGGATTAATTCTATGAATATTCGATGCACTTATTTGAGTCATTTATAATTTAGGAAAAATTGTAATATATTAAATATTCAATTCCACTGTATACTGGTATGGACAATTCAACTGCTTCTTTTCTTTTATTTTGGAGAGGTTTTTGCTATAGGGTGCGTGCACTTGCCAGAAAGAGAGAGAGACAGAAAGACAGAAAGAGAGAAATCACCCCCGGAGGGATGGCCATACCGCAATCCCTTTTCCTCCTTTCTCCTCTCAGGATCTTGGGCACGCACGCACATGCGCCTGGCGTGAGTTTAAGACATCGGGTCCGAGACTTGAACCGTGGTTGACTGCATGGGAGTCCCGTGACAGCCTTTACGCTAACTGCTGGTCCATTAAACTGTTTCTTATACATTAATTCTTTTTTTTTTTTTTTTTTTTTTTTTTTTTTTGGGGAATTGGTTTACTTTAGAAATCGGAAAGAGAGAGAGTGAGAAATCACCCTCCAGGGGATAGCCATGCCCAAGTCCCTTCTCCTCTTGGGATTTTGGGCATGCATGCACACGTGCCCAGCCTGTGTTTCAGGCCACTGGGTCTGGGACTTGAACCCTGGTTGACTACGTGGGAGTCCAACGACATAACTATTATGCCATCTGTTGGCCCTACTTTAGTTTCCTTTCTAACTATGTAAGTAGCATGCCCTGGGGACACCTGACGGAGTGGTGGTTAAGACTGCTGAATTCAACAGGGCCGACTGTATGGTTCAAGTCCCGGGCCTTGCAACTTGAAAAACATGCTAGGTATGTACGTGCGTGTGCCCCACATCATGAGAGGAGCACAGAGAAGGGACCGTGGTGGCCATCCCCCAGGAAGGGGAGAGCGTCCTCCCTCCCCACTGCCCCTCACGTCTCTGCTGATGACTGCACACGCTCTCTAGCAAGAATGTTTAAAAGTAAACCCTGTAGTAGCGCACCCCAGCGGGTGCACTGCCTCGTCCGGATCTCTGCCCTGTGGGATCTGTGGCATGCATGTACACGTAGCATGTTTTCCATGCTGCCAGGACCGGGACTCGAGCAGCCATCAGACATGTGGAATCCAGGTCCCTCAGCCACTAGCCTTTGGGTTGGCCTGGAAGTTGGATTTCCAAGTTTAAAAAAAAAAAAAAATCCAAAAAACAAAAAAAATGAACAAAAATACCCCAACAAGGTGGAGAAATGGAGTATGGGCCCACATGCTGTTAGGGTGCTTTATTCACCCCCTGCCCCCCCAATTTCTCTGTCTCTCCCTGTGAGGGTACGTACCCTCTGGCAAAATTTTAAAAATGAGTCTGTTTAAGTTTCTGAGATCTGGGCTAGCAGGTGGCATGGCGGTTACGGCAGACGGATTTACGTGGCTCACTGCATGGCTCGTGCTAGTACTGGACCTGTGGCCTGAACACCATGCTGGCCGTGAGTGTGTGCACAGACTCCCAACGAGAATGGAGGAGGGACTGTGGCGTGGCCACCCTCCCTAGGGCATGCGTGCACATGCTTGGGGGGCAGGGCCAGGACTCAACTGTGGCCGACCCCACGGGTTCGAGCTCCCTTAACCACATGGCTGTGGGGCCAGCCCAGTTTTTGTCAGGTTATTAAATAAAAAAGGAAAACCTGAATGTTAGAAATGCAGATGTCCGTTGGCCAGCGCGACGGCACTGTAGCTGGTATACCCACACAGATACCGAACAGTGAACAAAAACCTGTGGGCAGCGACTGCTGGCTGATCCCACGCCAATGCTGCTTCCAAACCGTAGCATGGCCTCCAAGCTGCGTGAGGACTGCTTTACTGACCAGGCGGCTTCTGAAAGAGCCAGTGTGCCCGCAGTGTGACTTAACAGGGTGCAGCTGGTGCAGACACTCCGGCCAGCAGGTCTCAGGAGAGCACTCGCGCGAACACGCAGTCCCCGGGTCTGCGGACGCCCTGACGCTCGCCATCTCTGACCGAGGTAAATCGACACTGCGTGGTTTTACTTACTACTCTGAACTGCTCTAACTTTTGGTTGCCTTTGATAAAGAAAGGGCATTCTTTGTCGCCGGTTCGGTGACCATAACGTTTGCAACGCCAACCTACAAAGGAAACGGGAAATATTTCTGTGAGGTAACACAGTCTGATCCTACTGAGATAAAGAATCAGTACGTCACATTCAAACTTTTCTTCGGTAAATGCCGACTCTAAAGGAAATGCCATCCCCGTGTGAGCCACGAAGATTTCAGAGAACACAGGCGGACTCACTGCTCTCCCAAGCGTCCTGTAAGCCTGTAGTTTTAGGAGCGAATGTCCCATCACCAACCCAATGCAAAGGCTCTGCAAAAGGTGAATTTTATTTTAGTGTGTCTCCGTATACTTTTCAGAGTCAATCTTTGATATTCGTTGAATGGTTTGAGTTTTTTTTTCCCCCTTTTTGGTAATCTGCCATAGGGTGTGTGTGTGCTCACTGGAGACAAACAGCCAGAGAGACAAAGTGAGAAGCCGCTCCCCGGGGACGGCTGCTAGGCCACAATCCCTGCTGCATTCTCCCAGGACCCCAGGCACGTGTGCACACACACGTGACAGAACTTCCCATGCCACCAGGTCCAGGACTCAAGCCGTGCAGCTGGTTGTGCAGGGTCCAGTCACCTTAACCTCCGGGCCACCGCTGGCCTCAGTGGCTGGCTTCCTTTTATCCATCTGGCCCTAGACCAACTTTCTTCCTCAGCTCCAGAGCTGACCGCGGTTCAAATTCCTCACCTTCACATGGACCATGCCAAGTTCTCTTAAACGTTAGCATCTCGGAGTCCGAGCAGACCCTTACCAGCAGGACAGGAACCTGTCCCATGGGAGGTTTGTCATCAGAAACAGCAGAAGACCCTGATGAGGGACAAGGAGGCGACACTGAGGAGCATGCACGTGCGTTTCCAAGGCAACAAGGGAAACACACGTCTTCGGGGATCCGGAGACTATGGGCCTGGCACCAGGCACTGGGACCGGGGAGGGATGTGTAAGGTCCTGGCACTGCTCTCAGGCTCTCAGAACCATCGGACTTGAGGCCAGTCAGGAACTGTATGGCAGGGCAGGCCACAGTCAAACCCTGCGTGGGAGACCTGAGCAACTTCAACCACGTCAGGAAGCACGAAGAGGGATTACAGGTGTGATCGGCCAGTTCCGCTGCACGCCAGCAGTGACGGGAAATAGGAAGGCTCCCTTTTTATTTATTATTATTATTTTCAGTTTGTTAAAAAAACAACAGAAACCTGCCATAGGGCGCGTGCTCTCAGCAGTGACAGAGACAGAGAGAAAGCAAGACAGCACTCCCTGGGGGGTCGCCACGCACACACATGCCCCCCAGGACTGCAACACTGCAGCCGGCTGTGTGGACCCGGCCGCCTACACCACTGTGCCGTTTGGCTGGCCCTTCTTATTTTGGAGGATTGGCGGCAGAAGACCACGGGGAACAAAAAGTTGGAGAGTCTACTGATGGCCACTGAGCTGTCCCTGTGCCATTTAACAGCGGGGGACGAGGTCTACGTGACTTCAAACTGGCTGGCCGTAAGGCCAGATGCCACGCAACACAGACGGGCATGTAGATGTACAGAGGAAACCATCTTTAGAGAGACGTTTGCTACAGGGTGTGGGCGCTTGCCGAGAGACAGACAGAAAGTGAGAGATCGACCCCCCGGGGGGCGGCCATGCCCCACCCCCTTCTCCTCTTGGGATAATGGGCATGCATGCACACGTGCCTCGTGTGAGAAATGTGAAATGGAATTATAACTAACCTCAGCTAAAAAAACAGTGCTTTTCGAGCTTTTTTTCGTTAAAAAAGTTGTAGGGTCAGCCTGTGATGGGGTGGTTAGGGGGACTGGATCCCGCGTGCAGACTCCAGGTTCAAGCCTCGGACCCTGTGGCTTGAGCACACTGGCACGTGTGTGGCACAGCCTCCCTCGGTGAACGGGGAGACGGAGGACAAGGGACTGCCCACTCCCTTCTCACGGCGGGCCCCTCGGTCAGTGCACATGCCCTCTGGCAAGCTCTGGGCGAGGACGGCAGATGGAGCCCGCTTCTGCCTTTGTTCTCTTCCTGAGAGTCCTGGGATGGCAGCAAGGGATACACGGACAGGAACCTCAAGCATGGCCAAGAAGGCTGGCAGGTGCGTGGTGGGTAAGGCACTGGATTTCCATGTGGGTGACCACGGTTCGAGTACCAGAGCCGCTGGCTTGAAATTCAGGCCGGGCATGTCTATGTGTGTGCTCGAAATCCAAGAGGAGGATTGGAGGAGAAGGAGAAGGGGATGTGCCCCCGCCCCCGTGGGGTAATTTCTCATTCCCTCTCTCCGTGTCTCTGGCGAGCACACATACCCTAAAACACACCCCCCCCCCCGTGGGGTAATTTCTCACTCCCTCTCTCCGTGTCCCTGGCGAGCACACATACCCTAAAACACATGTCTCTTTTAACATCAAAGGGTGGCCAAGAAACAATCTCCAAAGACCAGTTTCTCTAGGCTGGCAGCTGGTGTGACAGTTAAGGGTGCTGGACTCCCACATGGCTGACTGTGGTTGGAATCCCGGATCGGACAGCTTGCTTTCTCACTTTCTCTCTTTATTTATCTCTCACTCTGGTCAAATTAAAATAAACAAATAAAGTTAAGTAAAAAAATAATTCTTAAAAAAAAAAAAATTTCTCTCGAAAAGTAATACCAACAGTTGAAAGTTCCCAAATTAAGTTTTAAGAAACCTTGGTAACCAAGGTCTTACAGAATTCGTTCAGTATTCTTTTTATATAATTAAAAAACACCACCAAATCCTACAGAACATGAGTGAGAGCAGCAGAAATTTTTTGTCCTTTATGTAATTTTTGTTTGTTCATTTATTCATTTCTTGGGAGCAGCCCCCAACACTGGAACATACCCTGACCTCAGCTGGCCTGGGTCGCCAGCATGCATTCACACACCAGCATGCTCAGCGAGGCCCTGGCTGCAACCCGGGACGCCTCCCACGTGAGCCCAGATGTGTCTCCACTGTACCCTGACCTGGCCTGGCTCCCGGCATTTTCTATGGCTCTATGCTAACCCTATCTCCCCGGTACTGACAGTCTTCCACATTTCCTTTTAATTTTCAGAGGTGTGTGTCCTTGACAGAGACAGAGAGACAGAGGGGGAGAGAAAGTACCCCCGATGGATGTGGCCATGACAGCCGTCCTCCCCTGCCACAGTCGTGGAGCTGGCATGTCGCGCGAGCTACTGGGGCTGGGATGTGAGACGTGACTAGCCATGTGGGATCTGGCTCCCTGTGCCACTACGTAACAGCACTGGCCCCCGAACAGTCGTGAAAACAGCATCTTACAGCCATCCAAGACGGCCACACGGGCTTGAAGCCGCTGCACCCCGGCCTGGTAGTGCAGTGGAGACGCAGCACTCGGGGGAGGCCGGATCCACCTGGGGGCTGCAGGTTTGGGCCTGACCGAAGGTCTGCCTGGCCTCGCCTGGTGTGCACGCCAGGACCCTGGCTGGTTAGGAGGGCTGGGTGAGAACATGGATCACGTCATGATAGTCTGTTGACGGTGCCCCCAACCACTTAGGAAGAATAATAACCCTTCTAGATCAAGGCGTGTGAGGACATCGCTAAGCGGTTACTGACCGACCGCTAAGCTAACGAGGCAGACTTCAGAGGGCGGGCACTACACGGAGCACTCTCTGACGCTCGTCTGACGGTTACCAAAGACACAACAGCAACAGCCGGGAACTGACAGGGAGGGCACTCCGAGTCCCAGGCCCGCAGCGCGGGTCAGAAGGAGGTGGCCACACAGAACAGTGCCACAGCTCCAGATGTTGGCCTTAGGAGAGAAAGGATTATGTTAGCTGTCAAAATGAATCAGAGAAAATAAAAACGTGGGGACCAGCAGTGGGTGTAACGGCTGTCGCCGGACTCCCATGTGGTTGACCGCGGGTTGAGTCCCAGACCTGGGGGCTTAAACTCACATGGGGTGCTTGTGTGTGTGCCAAAATTCCAAGAGGAGAAAGGAGGAGAAGGGATCGCAGCATGGCAACCCCCGGGGGGTGAATTCTTGCTTTCTGTCTGTCCAGTGAGTACATGCGCCCTTTAGCAAAAGCCTATAAACACACACATGCACACACACAAACCAACTACAGTCCACGCTGCAGGGGCCCCCACGACAGCTGCCCCAGCGTGACACTGGTGCACGCGGAGGCCAGACCTGGCTCCTGGTAAACCTGAGCTGCGGGGGGCTGTGTGCACCCTCACTCCTGGCTGGCCGGGGGGCAGGACGGCAGTGTGCTGACACCCTGCAGATCAATAAATGTCAACAAACTTGAAAAACCCCAACCAAAACAGCTTTACCCGTGTCCCCGCTATGCTGCGATCTCCCTGCTTCAGCCCCCAAGGAGTTGGGACGATCGGAGCATGCCTGGCTCTGACAGCTCTCAACGCTGCCCAGGCTGGAGGGGAACCTGCACTCCCGCCACGACCTTCCGAGGAGCTGGGCGTGTGAGCAGCACGTGCCACCATGCCCGCTTTCAGGGTGCGTCAGGACGAACCCGGGCAGCATGTGTGGCCCCGGCCTGCCGCAGCGGTGTAACCAGCGCCACCACTCCCGCTGGGCAACACGGGCTCAGGCAGCGTTCTCCGCCCCAAATGTGTGGCTGCTCTAGTGAGGAGGGGACGTGCATGGAGGGCTCTCGCCTCCACATCCGCCCTCTGGCTGGTTGGGGCTCTCCTGGGGGACACGGATAAAACAGCAGGGACCCAGGAGCTGGGGAGGCAAGACAGAGACCTGCCCACGTGCCGCACCCTTCTGTGGACCCCGAGCAAGACCAGAGGCAGCGTGGATGCTCTTCCCTGGCCGTCTGTCAACCACTGCGCTGTGAACACACCCGAACTGGGGACGGAAGAGCAGGGGAGGGACAGCAGATGGCCTAAGGCTTACGTCACTGGACTCCCGCGTAGTCGACCACGGTTCTAGTCCTAGACGCGGCGGCTTAAAACTCAGCTGGACACGTATGAACGCGTGCCCAGGAGAAGGGACTGGGCATGGCCATCCCCGAGGGGCGGTTTCTTGCCTTTTGTCTCTCTCAGGGGAGCACACACACCCTACAGCAAAAATCTCTCTTTAAAAAAGGGAATAGGGGATTGTCTGTCCCAGCAGAGCATTTTCCCCTCGATTTCTGCCATAGGGCATGTGTGGTCAGTAGAACGAGAGACACAGAGACAGAGAAAGTGAGAAATCGTGCCCCGGGGGGGATGGCCACGCCACCATCCCTTCTCCTCCATGGTCCTCTCAGGATTTTGAGCACACCCCCACACACACGAGTGTTATTCAAACTGCTGGGTCCGGGACTTGAACCAGAGTCTGCCATGTGGGATGCAATGACTTAACCAGCACACAAGCTCTGGCCCCAAGACCAGTTTCGGATGCTGAGAAGTCCCAGAGTGCGGCGCTGGCCTCTGGAGAGGGTCTCCAGGCTGCTGACATCGGACGGGAGACCACCCAGAGCAGGACGTGGCCGTCCCCCTCCTCCTGGAAGCCCACCAGGACACACTGGGGGCCCACACTGATGCAGACCATCTCACAAAGGCCCCGCCTCTACACACCATGATGGGCGAAGCTCCCACCCTCGTCACGTCTCACCAACCTAGCACACGGAACGCTGGGAGTGCACACGCCACTGGCAGCAGACAGCACACCAGGGCGGCTCCGCCTTCTCACCTGGGAGACGGAGGGCATGCCCCGGCTGTGAGAGGGCGGCGGGGACCAGTAGAGGACAGGGCGCACTACGTAAACCGGGGTGCCCTGCAGGTGCTGGGCCAGCGGTCCCCCCACTCACACTGCATGACCTTGACCTCCTTCCCCAGCGGCATCCACAGCCCCTTCGTCGGCGCATGGGCCAGGAACTCCCTCGCATGCTCGTTGCCGGGCACGTCCGGTATGCAGTCCTCTGGCTTCGTCTCGTCCTCCTAAGTAAAGGGGCGACGTGTAAACGATGCGGCAGGAAAGCACAGGGACCCCCGCCCCGGCTCTGGCGTGGGTGCCACTGCCATCCTCAATTACCCGTCAAGAACGAGAACGAAAAGTCACTCTGGGCAGAAAGCAGCAAATAAACACACCAGGACCAAGCCATGGCCGCCCTGCAGCGCGTGGGTAAGGGAGCCGGACCCACACGGCGGACTGAAAAGTACACCGGGCTCGTGTGCACGCCTGACGAAGGGACAGTGGTGTGAGCACGCACGCGAGGGGTACAGGTGCTCTCTGCATTCTGCGCCCCTTCAGGTCTGGCCCTGGTGGGAAGGTGCGTTCCCTCTCTGGCAGCGAAAACCCGTCGGTCCTTCGTAAGGCACGTCTTGTGAGCTCTAATCCTGACAGGTTAGATTCTAAGACCCAAAGACAGGTTTCCACGTCTCGGAATTCATGGACTGGGTTATGGCATGCATGTTAAAGCAGGCAGTTTTCTAGAATAATAAAGATGGTGTGTGGGGACCAGCAGTTAGCGTAGTGGCTATGTCGCTGGACTCCCATGTAGTCGACTGCGGTTCGAGTCCCGGACCTGGTGGCTTAAACTCACGCCAGGTGTGCGTGCGTGCCCAAGATCTCGAGAGAATGGAGAAGGGATTTCAGCATGGCCATCCCCCCGGGGGGGGGGTGATTTCTCGCTTTCTGTCTCTCTCTGTCTTTCTGGGGAGTGCACGTGCCCTACAGCAAAAACCTCTCAAAAAATAAATAAATAAACAAATAAATAAAACTTCACACTGACCTTGATGAGCCCAGGAGGAGGTTTTTCATAACTAGAAAACAAACAAACAAACTTTATTAACATGTTAACTGTCACATACACATTTTTTAAAATTAAGTACTGGCCAAAGGGTGTTTGCACTAAGAGAGACAGAGAGAAAGTGAGAAGTCACCCCCCAGGGGACGGCCACGCCTCAATCCCTTCTCCATTCCCCTCCTGGGATCTTGGGCACACACGCACACAAGCATGGCATGATTTCCAAGCTGTGGGGTCTGGGACTCGAACCATGGCTGACCACTGGGGGTCCAGTGCCTTAGCCACCATGCCACCTGGTCCCAGGAGCGTAACATATTTTAATAATTAAAGGCAGCTGTCGGGTCAGAATGAAAAAGGCTTATTCAGTAAAATCTTAGAAACCCCTGCGGCCTCGTAGCTCCTTAAGGGAGCCAGATTGCACAAGGCGGCAGTGGGACAAACCCCAGCCCTTGGGACTGGAAAACATGCCAGCTGTCCGTGTGTGCACCCCAGTCCTACTGGGACGGAGAACACGGGTGGCCGCATGACCGCACTCCGGGGGGAGCTCACTCACACTCACCCTGCCTCCCTCAAGAGCGCATGCTGAAGGCCTCTGGGAAACTGGACAGGAGACATTCATTGTGCACCACTGAAGCCTCACTCCCAAGTCATTCCGACTGTAGGAACCAGAGGGGGCATACTGGTTCCCTCGCTGGACTCCCACGGAGTCAACCCCGTTCTAGTCCTGGACTCACTGGGTCAAAACTCATGCCGCGTGTGTGTGCAAGCGTGCCCAGACCCCGAGGGGGGAATGCAGAGGGACTGCAGCGCGGCCACCCGTCCTGGCGATTTCTCCCTGTCTCTGCGTCTCTTTCTGTCTCTCCAGCGAGTACGCACGCACTACAGCAAAAATCCCTCAAAAAAAAAAATCAACCTGTAATAAATTATTCCGCCTGGACAAAGTGAAACTTGGGAAAGGAGGAAAAATGTTATCTTCTCAAAGGGGTATAGGGGGGAAATATTTATTTTGCCAGGTAGAGACTTTAAAAACACTCTGGGGTCAGCAGGTGGCGCCGAGGTGAGGGGCTGGATCTAGGCAGATGGGTTTGCAGGTCCTGGGCCAGCAGTTCGGAAGAGTCGGGAGGAGAACGCAGAGGGGCCATCCCTGCTCCCTTCTCCCCAGTCCTGCGAGCTCACACGGCCTGACGCAAAAGCTTTCTGGAAAACCCCCCACGCCCGAGTCCCCCACCCCGTTCTCAAGGTGGGTTTTTCTTGTTTAATTTTCCCGGAAGGGACATGCACTCGCCGGGCCCGCGCCGGGGCCCAGGTTCAGGCCCAGGTTCGGGCCCGCGCCCGGGCCCGGCGTAGGAACCAGCGTAGGGCCC